AACTCCTCTTTCTTTCTCTTTCACATCAATTATATCAATTTTCCTTATTGATGCACTTTTCATTATCTTTTTACGAGTCTAAATCATAGAAGTCCAGTTACTACACCTTATCCACAATAGATTCCTATGCCCGCCACCTCTTTAATGCATATTGATGCAACAAAAATAATGGGCTTAAAATTTTCATTGTTGGTTGCAAATCTGGATGAGATAGATCAAGGGTCAATAATGGAGGGAACCAATCATAAAACATCTGCTCTAACCAATAAAGACTGTCTAAAACCTGAGACTTGATGCTTTTAATTTGTTTTGTGCTTCAATGTTAATTAATTATTTACTACCATGATCGAAAAAAATATTTCTATAAAACTAGGGAAGAATTATAATGCGCAGTTAACATTGATAAATAACAGTGATTCTAAATCTACCTAGAAGGAGTAAATTAAGCAATAAAAACTCAGTCAATGCCAACCCACAATGATAGTTGATTATAAAATGATTTCTTTGTTAGAAGTATATTACATTAACATTCAATATGATTATTCTCCACCTTGGGAACATATTCTTTACCACGTAACACATGTAAGCTGTCTTTGATATTTTTTTGTCCTTTTGGCCACCATGTGAACACGTCCATTGCCTTTTCATATCAAAGTTAGCATGTTTCAGGCTTAGAAATTGCTTATTTTATTATGGATAATATAATAGAATGAGATAAGGCAACTATTTTAGTGTTATATGTTAATCATCGGGCTCTTCAATTGAGCGCCAGCTATACTGATATGTATGAGCATATGTAATGGCTCCTAGCACACTTCCACTATCAAGTTGGGCGAAGAAGATAACCATCCTAGGGTATCATATTACAAAGTTTGTTAGTCATATTTTCATCAATTCCAAAAGGTACAATATATTCCTATTTGATGATTTTATCAAAGAATGTATTAAATAAATTTGTTATGAAGATGGTTGCAGAATTTAGATTTTTTTAGAGTTACCTCAAGTATAAAATATTGAATCATCCACACAGCTCCAATATTTCCCCATAGGCCCATAAATTGATATGAATTGGTGAGCACTGGATTATTATTACTAAATGTATTACTTGAGTTGTCAATTTCTATTCATAATTTTTTTATAACAACCTGAACACATTATCCAGAGGTCTCCTATGAGTTGCTTAGCTATTTTGCAATATTGTTACGCTATTAATTTGCTAGGATAAAGGTTAGAGGGTTTATATTTAACTAAAGCTATCCTAAAGTAATGCAATAATGAAGTAATCAGACATCTCATTAACTTGGCAGACAATTAACCATTAGTATTGATTGTATTACTTGGGTTGGGAACTCATATGCATTTGTTGTAGTTATTCGCTCACAACATGAGCCAATTAAAATAACGGTTACGAATATGTTAGTGAAATTTCTGCAATGTATGCTGGAGATATTTGAAGAGATGACGTACCAAATGAATAGGCTCATAGGTAAGTTGGGTTTAGAGCATGGTTGTGAAGTATAAGCAACTTGAGGATGAACCTCGTCTCAATAGTGCATCTCAAAATAACCGGGTAGAGAAAATTCAATAGAGATCATTTAACTGGAGAAATGTAGTAGAAAAAATTCTAGAAGATTTGTTTCTAGAAATGTGCCCCAGGGAGAATCTCATTCCATATGCATGGAAGGATATTTTGATATCTTTCAATAAAATAAAAAAGGTGGGCATGTAGATGAGAAATTACGCAAAACAAACTTAAAAAATTTGGAATTATTTATAAAGTCGTACCAAGTACCAACTTATGATGAAGAGTGATTGTGGTTGAGATTATGAACATCATTTCCTTGCAAACAATGATGAAGGTATAACAGGAATAGGTGTGTATTGTGGTACATACATAATTTGTAATTGTAGTTGATTTTGTGATTTACATCTATCTAGGAGAGAGTTGACATAGCAACATTACATGATAAGACTTTTGGACTATTTAAAAAGTTTGTAATAATGTCAAAGGATTTATTTGTTGTTGACATTCAAGGGCCTAGCCTAGAGATAGACTACTCAAACATCAAGGAAGTTTGTCTTGATGATGTTAGAGAGGATTTCGACTTTGATTACCAGCATATAGATGGGGTCAAGTATGCTTATGTAATTATGTATGTTGCAATGTGTATAGTGTTGGCAACCAAAGTTGCTCATAATGCAATGCAAAAGCTGAAGATTTTATGATGCATACCAAGGATCTTGAGTAAAATAGACCATAGAGAGATAGGGAGAGAAAGAAGAATTCTAGAATACGAAGCTCTAGGGTTTCAATAAAATAAGCTTGAGGGCAGAAATTCGTGTAAATTGAGCTCACTCCTCCACTCCTATTGAAAGATTTAGATTAGGGCGTGTGCCTTACAAAACTGACAACATATGTTTGGTCTGATTGGAATGTTTGAGGTGATGAAGGCTTCTATTGAGCTTTTAAAAAGTTGTCGGCTTGGAAAACGTTAGTAGTCAAGTAGCAGAATAACTAATAATAGTTTGCCTCAATAAGTCATCCTTCCTTGAGTAGTAACTAGATTTTTTTTATTTTACTAGGGTTTCATAGATAGCAATCATTAGGGTTGACTACTAAGCCACACTCACTCAATTGGAATGAGTTATTAAATCATGATCGCCTACTAGGGAGAGTTCTCTTGTAGATTGATGAATCTATTTTGGGTTCATATTAACTTGACTTGAACTGATTTGATTCAACTTGAACCGGATTTTCTAAATATTTGAATGCAGATCATAGTTTTTAAAAAATCTTACTAATAAAATAGTTCATTAAGTTTGAAATGCAAATCCACCAAAAAATTGTTCCAAACCCAAGATTATAACGAAATAAACACTTACAAACAAATAAAATGGATAAGTATAGCTTGAGACCATCAATAAATGAGATATAAGGGCAAATGAAAGATTATAACCAAAGATCTATGAAATTATTTTAATAATCAGGTGAGAAAGAAATTATCAGCACTTAAAAAGAAGCAAAAATAAAGCAATAAAAACAAACATGGGTGCAAAAGGTGATTGTCTTACTGGTCTACGATCTAGGATTGACATGAAAGTAGAATGATCTCTGATAGATCGCTCAATCCTAGCATCGCTTTCAGCAGCTTGCTTAAGGTTTGCAGCAAATCTATTCAGCCTATCGAGAAGGTTCTTTGTAAGGGTGCTAGACTGAGGTCTAGTCCACTTTGTTCCAAACTGGGTGCGGAATTGAGTGTCTTCATTTGCTTCTTTTTGCAATAGCTCTTCAGTCTGAACCAACAATTCCTGATTGACCCTTCTCAAATCCGTGAGTTGTTGCAACTCCGCTTCTAAGCCTGCTGGGCCACCACTAATCTGCACAGCTTCAACATCTTCCTTAAGATCCATTGGCAAACTAAAACTGCCATCCAGTGCTAAAATGGAATCAGGAAGGTCCATCTCCTTTAACTTGACCCTTGTGATCTCACTCCCCTGCTGCAATTTTTCAGCTTGAGTTCGAATAATATCATCAACCATCTCTGTATACCTAGACAAGGACTTCGTACTATTATCGGGGATAAGGTTTGAAAACAACCTTTCCTTGCTAGCATCTAAGACTTCATTCATAAGCACAGGTTTGACAAGAGAAGCAGCAGGCAGAGAAATTAAGGAACTTGCTGGCGGAACACGCATGAGATACACCCTATCATTCTCCTTAATTGCCCGTTCCAAGTTCTGGTTCATATAGCCCTCCAATCTGGAAACTGCATCAAGAAGAGGTGCAGCAATACCTTTGACAGATTTCTTGGCATCTGTTAGAGCGTTAATCCCAATCTTAAGCCTTGCTATTTCCTCTGCAATCTCTTCTTTCCCATGGAGTTCTAAAGAACATCTATAGCATGCCTCTGCATAGAACTGAGCTGCCTTCAACTGAATATGAGAGATCCAGGTTCTGTCAAAATGCTGGTTAAGTGGAGCTGCATTCAGTGTTGCATAAGCTTCCTCATAGAATAGGCCAACCTGCGTCATTACAAAATTACTTGCCTGAACATAAAATTTTAATTCTGAACTTTCACAAAACTGTTTTCCACCCTCTGATACTGTAAAACCAACTGTAATACGTAATAAATCTACACACTAATCAAAACATGAATTAAGAAAGAGGTTTGTTAGAAGGAGGGACTAATTCGACCATCTACAAAAACCAATCATTAAAATATTGGGAAAAAAAATTGATGCGATCAAAAAATATAGGGGACCCTGTATTTTTTTATCACAAAAAATTATAAACGAGCGACACAGACAAAACGTAAAGGACTAAAGACGAGAAGAGGAAAGAACAAACTCTTACATTTCAAATAAAACTAAAAAGAAGAAATTACAACGACGACGACTTGCAAACTTAAAATTAAAAGACGACACCCTAAAGTTGCTTCACTTAGAGAAGAAGGATACAGGTGGAGTGGCACTTGCGGAGAGACGAAAGAGATTAGAAGCTCAAGAATAAAGGTTGGAAAGAGCCCGCAGGATTTTCGGAGGGATGAGAAAGAAGGGTGGAAAGAGCTTGCAGGATTTCAAAAGCAAACCCACAGGTTATAACTTTTCCAAAAATCACATTTTCATAACATTCACTTAAAACAATACATAACCCCTCATATATATAGGTATGAAAGGGGAATACAAAAAGACACAAACATTAATTTTCACTAGAACCTAAACATCACAACATTAAAACACCTAAAAATAAATCCAAAGCCAAGAAACCGAAGAGCCATCCACGGGAGCCAAGGAGGCCGCACGGAACCAAGGGGCCACGGTCTCGGGAAAGAGCCCAGGCACGGGAAAACCAGCAGCCAGCCGGAATTCCAAGAGGCAAAGCACAAAAAACAAGAGCCATGGAGGAAACCAAGGAGTCACCCCATGGGAAAAGACAATTCTTGGAATTCCAAGTGACAAACATGATTACAAACATAAAAAGCATAAAAGAACATTAATATAAGATAACAAATGAACTAAAATGTTAGCTAATAATGAGCTAACCCTTAGTTCAATAAGTGAAAACTAAAGACCAGCTCATAAATGAGCTAAAATTTTAGCTCAAATTTATTTGAGCTAGTAGACTCAAGGGAAGTCAAAAATCTAATTATTTTTTACATGAGTTGACCCCCTTTGTCTACATCAAAAATACTCTCGAACAAATCATACGATGCATTTTCCATTAATCTCCTCAAAAACAGTTTTGCAGCGAGTACCAACAAGAACTATGAATCTCCACTGTAATATAAACCTGAGATATGAGCTCGCTAAAAAAGAATAAGGAATGATAAGCAGGCAAAGAAATTAATGAACAGTTCAAACTAGTTAAAAGGGGCAAACCTGCCGTGCGACCTTGGAACAGATGCCATGCGGCTTGGCGTCTGCAATAACCTTCTCAAAAAAGCACTCCTGGGCCTGCGCGAGCATGAGCCGCTCAAGCATTCCCGCGCACTCGACCGATAGATCAATAGTGGCGCCGCCGAGAGCAGCTAGCTTGGGTGCAACGGCCTCACGGAGCATCGAAAACGCCCCCGCCGCGCTCTGGAAGCCATTGCACGCCTGCTTGAGCCCCGCTGGTGAGGTTCGATCGGCCGACAGCGCGATTTGGCTGTAAGCTGCACCGATGTTGAACAGAATGGCTGATTTCTCGAGGTGGATGCTCTGGAGGGAAGCCTTCTTGGAGGGCTTAAAGGCGTCGTACCAAGTGAAGTTAAGGGAGTTGACATGGGATCGGTCGGCGGAGATAGGGAAGCGGGGTTCGATGAGGGCGATGGCTCGATAGTAGGACAGGAGAAGGTCACGACGGGATTCGGGCGAGGGATTGGTAGGTTTCTCAACTTCGGATCGCATCTGGCGGACGGAGTCGAGATCATCCTCCGCCATCTGAGCTTCGCGCTCGGAGAAATTGGTGGCGATGTACTGCCGGAGAGGGCGGTAGAGGTCAACAGCTGTGGTCTTCTTCTCGTGCACCGCGAGCATCACGTTCACAGCCGACGCCGCCATCGCCGTTTCGCTAGGAGATATCCCTCGCTCTCTTCCAGGATCCACAATCGGCAGCCTCGCGCTATAGTTCGAAGGTCTTGGTCATTTGGCGGTGGATCGCAAGGGTATGATCAGGCGGAAGAATGGCGAACGTAGAAGTTTTACTTGGGCGTGTCGCCCGAGTCGGCAGTTCACAAGACGCGACGCGGAAGAGAAATAGGGATGGTTGTACTCTCAAGTCTCAATAAAGATTAATTTTTAACTTTTTTTAAGAAAAGTTCTATCATCATAATAATAACAAGTCTTTAACTTTTTTTTTTCTTTAATCAATTGAAATTTAACTTCAATAACAAGTCTTTAACTTATTACACAGTTGCATTTTTTTGGGATTTTTACATATATAACACTTAAAACATTTCAAAATACATATTTAACACTCAAAATTTTATATTTACTAATATACCACTCAAATTTCATTTCTATACTTTAAAATACCACTACGTTAACGTTGAGTTAAAACCCTGTTCGAGGCGATCCCGTTCCTAGCTATTCCCGCGCGTTCCTATTCCCGAGCCTTCTTCTGCCCGCGTCTTCTTGTTCTCCGACGACCACCGTCGCCTATTCTTCGGTCGAGAAGGTACCTGTTATGACGTCAAATCGCCGCTTCTTCTCCGACGACCGAATGTCGCCTATTCTTCGCTAGAGAAGGTATCTGTTCCGAGTCAGACCGTCGCTTCTTCTTATGAGATTTGCTGTAAGAAAAAGAAGAAAACAGGCCTTTTGCTCGCATAAACTACATCCAATTTCGAACAGAAAATCGGATATTTGCATTGGACATTCTCGCGCATGAGTTAATCTCTTTACAGAAACTGAAATTGTATAGGAAACCGAAATTTTTTGATTAGTTTGGCTAACTGAAATTTTTTAATTGAATTGAAATATTACAGGAAACTGATCTGAAAATTTTTAATTGAATATTTGAACAAAAAACCGAAATTTTTACAGGAAACTGAAAATTTTGATTAGTTTGGATAACTCATTTAGTTTCAGTTTTTTCACTTTGTCTAACTTATTAATTTTATGCACTCACAGAAATGGATTCAAGTCATATTTGCTCCATTATTCTCAAATTCGGTGGATATTGGAGTGAGGTGCAGGGTCAGGCTCAAATGAAGTATGTGGGTGGAAGCCAAAAAAATTTAAAGCTTCGGAGAGATGAAATCACTATGTTGTTGCTAAAAGAACGTGTTGAAACACTTTTTCATTGGCTAAGGGGTCAACCATTCGATTTACACTATCATGTCAAAGGAACATCACCAAAGAATTACTTGTTGATTTCAAGCGATTCGGATGTAGTTGAAATGCTTGAAAGTTCTTATGAAAGGAATAAAATTGAGGTGGTAGTTGCAATGAAATATAATGAAGAAGATATGTCCCAATCACAGGACATTCACACTGAAATGCATCAGTTTAGCTCATAGATCATAGATAATAATGATATTGTAGTAAATGATTTGTGTGATGAGTTCTTTATATCTCAAAGACTAAGCCAGAAACTTATCAAAGAAAATAGATGAAGTTAGAAGCTGCAAACATCTAGAATCAATGGTGGAGCAATGGAGTGACTTTAGATTTGAGAAAACTTTTATGTACTTATGTTTAATGTGAAAGTTTTACCTTTAAATTCTTATGTAACTGTATATATTATAGAAACTTTTGCACAACTCAAATTTGGGGTAAACTCTTTTGGCCTCCTCTAATTTTAGTGCTGTGCTTGTTAATTCTTGCTTTAATTTAGAATAAATATGAGCGGGCTTACCTAATTATGGCTTTGAAAAAAAGAAAGAGCTTTCCACTGCCTGATACAGTTATTTTTTTCTAGCTAGTGATGAGAGAAAGTATGATATAGGCATAAATAAATGGAAACTTCAACTCTCAGTTGTTTCTTCCATATCCCAATGGTAATCCTTATTAGAAGACAAATCCTGTACCCTTTATATCTTGCATTGTATTTACGGTTTTTACCTCATTTGAGGTCTATTTAATATGTTTCTGTACTCTTTACACGTACACTGTAAAAACATTATTTGATTTCTAGTTCTGTCCTTCTTCCTTATTGCCGGAACTTTCTTCTCTTCCTCATCGTCTTTCATGGTATCATGAGCCGTTAGGGTAAACCCCGTTCTCATGGAAACCTTACCTCCTCCCTCCTCCTCCTCCTCCTCCGCTGTTCATACCGAAACCATTAGCTCCTCCACCCTTATACCGCCGAACCTCAAGTTTCTTGTATCTAATCTCAAGAATCTTGCCCCTCACCAACTCACGCCGGACAACTATCATATCTGGCGGGCTCAGCTGCTTCAACACTTCACGGCAAATGGTTTTGCCGGTCATCTTCTTGGCACCAATCCTCCGCCTCTCGACACGTCCTCCACTGCTTATGCGCAATGGTTCCTCACAGATAGCAATCTTCTTGCTGCTCTATTATCCACCGTTTCTCAGTCTATTCTTCCCTACATCCTCACCTCCACCACCGCTCACGAAGCTTGGACGGTTCTTGAAAAGCGACTTCAACCAACTAGCCGATCCCGCGTCATTCAACTCAAGAATGAGCTTTACCGTACTCAGATGAAAGATCTCTCGGTTCAACAGTACCTAACCCGTATCAAGACCATCGTGGATAATATTTCAGCTTCCGGTTCCAAGATTGAGTCTGAAGACATCATGCTTCACATTCTCAATGGCTTACCTTCATCCTATAATTCCTTTAAATCCACTATCCGTAATTCTCTACTACCCGTTGATCTTGATACTTTTTACGCTCTTTTATGCAATGAAGAGATCCACCTTCATCAAGAAACATTGCAAGATCAGCCAGGCAATGTTACTCCTGCGGCCCTCTATGCAGCCCCTCTCACCTCTGCTCGACCTCGCAGCACCAACAATCGCAGATTCAACAAACCGAAGCCTTCCTCCCAAACGGCTTCGGTACCTCAGCTACATTCTTCCGGCCAACCGCAACAGACCCGCCCGACTTGCCAAATCTGTGGCAAATTAGGCCATATCGCACTCAATTGTTGGCACCGCAACAATCCCAAGTATGCTCCGACGGATACACGCCAGCCTCGGGCTATGTTTGCAAATCCAGCTGCACCGGTCAATCAGGATTGGATTCTTGACTCAGGTGCTTCTGCACATCTAACGCCAGATGCCAATCAGCTCTACTATCCTTCCTCCTACCAAGGTTCGGACACGGTCTCGACTGCAAATGGTAACGCTCTTCCTATCTCCAACTCCGGTCAAGGACTTCTCCCCTTACCGGATATGGCTCGTAAGTTGAAACTTAACAATCTGTTACATGTTCCATCTCTTACGCATAATCTGTTATCTGTTTCCAAACTTACTTCCGATAATTATGTTACAATTGCTTTCAATGCTAATGGCTTTGTTATCAAGGACTCTCGGGACCATCGTCCTCTGCTTCATGGACAACTTCATAATGGGCTTTACCATATTCGCGCTGCTACGTCTCCTAACCCGACAGCTCTCACGGCGACCTCCGCTGCTTCTCGGCATTGGCATACTCGGCTTGGTCATCCCAATAAAGATGCTCACAACATTCTTTCTAAGCTCTTTCCGGAAATAACATCTGTATCACAATCTTTCTTTTGTGATTCTTGTAACCGGGCCAAGAGCCACAAATTAGTTTTTAATAACAGCATTTCTATTACCACCGAACCCTTTGAACTAATTCATACTGACACTTGGGGTCCTGCTCCTCACCTGTCTTTGGATGGTCATCGTTACTACGTTTTATTTATTGATGACTACACTCGCTTTTCCTGGTTGTATCTTCTTTTTACTAAGGGTGATGTTTTTACTGCTTTTAAGCATTTTTGTAAAATGGTTAAGACTCAACATAACAAGACTCCAAAAATTCTGCGCTCTGACGGAGGCGGTAAATACACTAGCCAGGCTTTTCGCTCATACCTTCACGAACATGGGATGCTACATCAAATCTCGTGCCCTCACACTCCTGAGCAGAATGGTCTCGCCGAACGTAAACACCGCCACCTACTTGACCTCACCCGTGCCTTTCTCCATGACTCCGGTTTGCATATCAAATTCTGGTCGTATGCCATCACTACGGCTAACCATTTAATCAACCGTCTGCCGTCTAAAACCATTTCAAATCAAATTCCTTATCACCTCCTTCACGGGACATCTCCGTCTTACACTTACCTTCGCACATTCGGTTGCTTGTGCTACCCTTGGTTAAGGCCGTATACCACGAATAAATTCACACCTCGTTCCACACCTTGCGTCTTTATCGGTTACTCCTATCAGCAAAAAGGTTATCTCTGTCACAATTATACCACTGGCCGTACTTATACTTCTCGGCATGTTGTGTTTTATGAAGAAGTTTTTCCTCTTAAAAACATCATGAGTTCGCCTTTGAACCCTGATCCCACTGTCAACTGTCCCATGCCACCTCTCCTCTTAACTCCCACCACTTCTATTTCTTCACCTCTCACGCACAACACTGCTCAAACTATGACTTCAGACGCTTTACCATCTGCACCCACGTTGCTTCACTCCCCTATGCAATCTACACGGTGCTCTCCTATCACTTCGGACTCCCTTCATGGCCCTCTCACACCATCGCACGATCAGTCTCCCCAGCCTCGTGCTGTTCACCCAATGCAAACTAGGCTCAAATCTGGCATTGTGAAACCAAAGCCTATTTTCAATCTCTTTGCCCCGACCACTTCACCTTCCACTCCAACATCTTATATTCAAGCTCTCAAATCCACTCATTGGCATATGGCTATGCAACAGGAGTTTGACGCGTTACAACAGCAAGCCACCTGGACGCTTGTTCCCCCTCCTCCCGGTAAGCCTGTACTCGGCTGTAAGTGGGCTTACAAAATCAAGCTCCTTCCCAGTGGCCAAATCGACCGTTACAAAGCTCGCTTGGTGGCTCTCGGCTATGATCAACAATTTGGCGTAAACTATACCGAGACCTTTAGCCCGGTCGCCAAGATGCCGACTATACGTCTCCTACTCACTCTGTCGCTCATCCGGCAATGGCCCATGTATCAATTGGACATCTCTAATGCCTTTCTTCATGGCGATCTTCCCGACGACATCTACATGCGCCAACCGCCCGGATTTACCGACCCAGCTCAACCAGACGCGGTGTGCAAACTTCACAAGTCT